TGTGTGTTCAGAGGGAAAAATACTGGGGGTGAGGGGGTGGAAAAGTGATACTGACTTTATGTCCTTAATTTTCCTTGACTCCAGATGAGACACACCTTTTGATTTCTCTCTTGGTCTACCTGAAGTCATCTTTAGAGACTGGGTTTCACAAATGAGCTTTATTTCATTGTTCCGGACACATATTAATAGAATGGCCTCATCCAGAATTACATTAATTTCAAACTGACAGCAGAATCCAGTCACAGCCACTGTCCTCTCAGCACAACAGAAGCCCTGATCAAAGCTGGCCCTGGTCATGCAGGGAAGTATGGGAACAGGCCTCCATTGTCTCATTCAACATCTTCAATAAAACAATCTTCCTGGAAATAGCTATTCCCGTGCCTGGTGAAAGCCAGATCACAGGCCTTCCGTTTGTACTTTCACATTCAGCCCTCAGAAACTCACTCGGCTACGGCACTAATAAGCACCTGGGCAGTATTCTCCATAGGTCAGCTTGGATCCCTGCCCCCAAACAAGGGGGCTTCCAAAGGTTCCTGGAAATACTTCATTATCTTTCAATTCCATCTCTCCAGTTTTCTTTTGAAGCCCTCCATATTGTTAGTGCCATCTGCGGTGAAGGAGGGGTGTTATAAAAATTTAATTCTTTATTCGGAAACTTTCACTTCTCCATTCAGAAAGCCCATATTTGGTCCAACTCAGGCTGGGGAAGGGTTTAGAGATGTTCCTACTGCCCACTCCCCGCAACTAAAACCGCCTCCCGGCCGCTGGGCTGAGCAAATGTTGCTAAGCCTGGTGCTTTCGACAAGCCGGCAAGCTTCTTCCATTGTTCTCCTCAGAGCACTTGCAAAATGTGATAGCTCCATATTTCATTCAACGTATTTAATGAGTTTGGCAAGCACTAATTGTGTGTATGACGGGCACTGGTTCCTTCCGCCAAAGTACCCACAGGTCACTGTGAATGAGGCCTTTGAGGGCTCTGAGCTCCCTGAAACTCAAGCCCCCAGCCCCACCCTGTGCCTCTGTCTTGTTCCAAACTAGTATTTGTTGACTACATGGCACTGAATAGACTCAGCTTTATAAACAGAGCTTTCTGAGCAACAAAGGTATTCCAAAGTCAAAGGAGTAAGCAGGCACGCTATCAACTGAGTAGAATTTTAGAATAAAAATCACTCTGATAACCTGCTCAGCAGTCTATTTCCTGCTGATGGACAGGTTGCCAGGGTGAGACATGTGAAAGGATCTTTCAATGTGTGCTGCCTCAGAATGGATCACAGGCTCTGTGGCAATCTGTTGTGGCACAGGTCTGCTTATACCAGGGCCCGACAGGAGCTTGTTCACACCCGTGCGCGCACATGTGCACACACACCGCTTCTATCTCCGTAGCTGAATGCCATTGTCACGACTACCTCGACCTTCAGTGGGAGCAATACTTGCCTCCATTTCCTAGAATGCAGCTGGGTACAAATCTCTAGGAGCAACAATTCACCTTTATAAATTACAGAGCCAAGGAACAGTGGCGTGGAGAGAAGGCAGCAGCTGCAAACAAGGGAATTTCTGGAGCAGAGCCTGTTCAAACAGCAAGGGGAGAAGAGTGGACGTTTCGCTTAACTTTTCATCTGAGCAGACGCCCAGGAGTACTGTGGGAGCTGCAATGACTCGACTCAATGTCTAATATTGTTTTACATACAAGATCCAAACCTATCGGAACGCTACTTTAGCACCAAGTCTTCAGATAATACTGGGAGAGAAATGAACCCAACTGCTTAAAAAAAAACCTGCACTCGAAACACTCGGCATGCATTTTACTGTGATTGAGAGATAAGAGCTCATTCAAACGCCACATGGAATTAGTTTTTAAGCGGTTATTTTATTCAGAGTTGCGTTTTAGTGACGCAATCGTCATTCCCTGTTAAATCAGTTCCATCTATACTCATCCAACATGAATATTTAATTTGATCATTTCATTTTCAAGTTTTCTTAAAGCCATTACAAATATTCTGCTGTTGAAAATCATCCACAGGTCATAGAATGCATGACCAGAGCTGTCACACAGCAGAATGAACACGAGGGGGCTTCAAAAGTTCATGGAAAAATGCTATTTCTCTTCTCATTCCATTTTCCAGGAGCTGTTCGAAAGCCCCTCGTATACTATAAACTGGTTCCGTGACTAATAATGCTAGCATGTATTATCAACTGTTAAAGGGTCTTTCTCAAAAGAATCTGTGCTTTACTGTGCAATCCTTATATGTGGAGATTCCACATTATAATTACATGTCAGAATTGTGTTAAAATATTTCCCCATGAACATCTATTTCATGTGTTGCCTGAAATAAAATCTTCAGTATTTAACTTGTACATGTTGGCCATTTGAGAACTCATAAATTCTAGTTAAATAAAGCCATGATGGATGAAGCTTGTACCATATTTAAAATTATATATAACTGCCATATATGCTCATGTATAAACTCAAGTTTTCCAGCACATTTTTAATGCTGTTTTTGTGGTAAAATTAGGTGCCTCGGCTGGTATTCAGGTCGGCTTATACTCGAGTATATACAGTACATGGTAACTTATTCTTTGAGCTTCCTAAATTATTAAAATGTAACACTCTGCAGATTGCCTCATACAAAAACGGGTCAGGCCAACAGCAACACCGTTGCCACGGTGGGAAAATCCAGGGACTTTCTCCTAGAAAATAACCAATCCTCAAAATTCTGTATACTAACTCATAATTCATTCTTTTTTCTCTTTTCCATAATTCAGTTTCACATCTCAAAGTAACACTGGGCTGAAGACTTATTTTTATCAGCAGCATGTTATTTCCTTTTTTTGTTTTGTTTTGTTTTTGAAGCATGACCCCCAAAAAAGCAACGTACCCCACAGGCATCCCAAGTAAACCATTACAAATTCACATTTTCATTTGCATTAATTTGAATCGGGGGTAAGAAAGAGGGAAGTCCGTGTGTGCCCTTTTGGTTCACTGGCCCCAAATCCCAAGTACTTTGTCAGAGGCTGAAAAATAAACACACCAGGCAGATAAGCTTCGATCACTTTTCTATCAAAGTTGCTTGTGTCACCATCAAACATTTTTGAGGTTGGTGCGTTGACCCAAACCTTACAAATCACACTTAAAACAAAAGCCCTCCCTTTTTTCAGACCTAAAGGACCAGCTGTGGTGCTTCAACGTTCCCAAGTTCTGAACTCAATGGTAATCAAAACCGAATGCCTTCGAAACCTCAAGGGGTTGCTTCTTCCTTTCTGCACTCGCGGTGCAACAGGAAAGTAGTGTGTGCTCTTTGCCTCTGCTGCCCCACTTGGTTTTTTGCCTTTATAAGTTGAGTATTTGTTCCCACCCCAGGAATGGGCACCTGACAGGCTGTGATTTACATGTGAGAAAACAACACTGGTTCTTGCCAAGGAGTCAGAGCTGCGTGCCCAACCAGCTTAGCTGCCTCCAGGAACCACCTGGGTAAAGAAGGGGTGGGGGGAGCTGGGAGCAGGTTCTGGCTGGAGTCACAAAGGACATGTAGCACAGGTACATTCAAAGGAATGGAGGCAAATATAAAAAGAACATTATTTATTATCTTTATTAACACTCACATGTAACCTTTGCTTTTTACACAAAAGTCTAAATGAATGCCTCCTTGGTTGATCATGCCCACTGGGGGTCTTTTTGCTCCCGAACCACTTCCCTTTTCTCTACCCCACCCCCAACACCCAAATTATTCTTTTACATGTTCACAGATACCACGAAGTTTGTAAACAACGATTGGGGCTACTGAACTTGATATCATCAACATCCCACTTCCGAAGGGAAGGCAAGTGGTGGAGGCAGGGGACGGGAGAACCACCAGGAGAGGGGAGGAGGGGCAGCTGGTCAGAACTTTCAAGTCTTGCCTTTTCTGAGATGTGTGTGTTGTGGCTGTTTCTTGAAATCCAATGACTCAAAACACTGACAGCAAATACCTGTGGGGTTATTTATATTATATATCTGTAATGGAATATGTGGGCTTCCTCAGTTTGCTTAAACACACCACAATCCTGTCGGTGTCTGCACAAGCAGTCGGAGCACCCCAGAAGCCCCCTCACAGCCGGGGATTCCTGAGCAGGCTCCTGCTGAGGTCTTTGACCTCTTCGGGGCTGTTGACCTGCTCATAGCCCAGAACCGCCATAGGTTGAGAGCAAAACTCCTCCACCTGTTTGATCTGCTGGAAGGTGAGGGCGGTCCTCCAGGCATTGGCAGCCTGCGTGGCGTTGCGGGCTGACACCACGAAGGGCTTAGAGGAAGAGCCCGAGCCACTGGTCATGTTCAGCGCAAACTGCTCCATCTCGGCACTCACCAGCAGCCCCACGAAGTCATATACCCTCCTCAGGGTCTTGACAGGGTCTCCCACCAGGTCCTCGTACCGTACCACGAGGTAGTGGCCCTGCAGCCAGTCAGGGGGCTGCAGGGCCGTCTGTAGCGTCTTGGCCATGCTGTTACAGATGACCTCCATGGCGCCGAGTGCATGGTAGTCCGCTGGACCGCCCATGCCTTCCTTTTTGGCTCCCAGCTTGTGGCCGGCAGCCTCCAGGAAGGGCATGCGGTGGGCACGCGGGTCCCGGCTCCGCACCACTTGCAAGCTTTCCCGGATGAGGCCGTGGCGTGAGCGGATGCGCGAGCTGGCCACGGCGCGGGGATCTCGCACCAGGTGGATGACCTTGAGGTCCAGGGCCGGGTCTCGCAGCAGGGGCGCCAATACAGCTACATCAAAGACCCGCACACCCTTGATGACCAGCGTGCGGTATTTGCGGCACTCCTCTTCGAAGCGGGCCAGGCGCTGCGGTGGGCACTTCTTGCAAACCCGGTCGTCCACGAGCCCCACCACTTCCTTGCGGTAGGCGGGGCAGAGCGGTGAGGAGCACACCACCTTGTTGGTGGCCGCGCCAAAGATGCCCAACGTGGTCAGGTTGCGCCCCCCGCTGCCCGCGGGGCTGTACAACTGGAAAACAGAGAGGTCGCAGCGGTAGAGAGCGCTCAGCATGTCCCGCGCCGCCCCCTGCAGGGAAACGGCGTCCCCCGGGTACAGCTTTTGCCACACGTGCCACACTGGCTCGTAAAGGAAGAACACCTCGGGATTCTGGTTGAAAAGTTCGCCGAAGAAGGACGAGCCCGAGCGCCACGTGGTGAACACATAGACCAACTGACGCTTTCCCCCGGCGCCCCGGCTGCCATTGCCCAGGGGGGCGGCGGCCACGGCCGCCCCGGCCGCCCCGGCGTTGGCGGGCTGGCGGTTCGGGGTGTGCAGGTCCAAGCGGGTGTGTGCACGGGGCGGCGCTGCCGGAGGGGGTCCCGGACGCCCCCAGCCACCCCCCGCCGCGGCGCCCAGCGGCGCGTCGGGGCTGCACTGCTGCAGCGGCTCCTTGTGCCACTTGTAGTCCAGCAGGTTGAGCATGGTGAGCACCAGCAGCAGCGCATAGCCCGCGCACAGCACCAGCGCCTTCCTGCGGAACACCTTCATCCCGAGCGGGGACGCGGGCC